GGCTGCCTGGGGACGCCGTGCTGCTGCCGCCGCTGCCGTCACCTGCGCACGCCACAACTCTCGCGTATGGGAAACAGTTTATGGGCGTTTGCGAAACGCAGCCGTTCCTGTTTACCATTTAGTCGTTCTTTAAGCTGACAGTAGAGAGTCCTATAGCGCAGCCCCTAGGGTGATTGCCATAACGTTCGCGTATGGGAATCAGTTTACCGACTTTAGACAAACGCAAACGTTCCCATTTATCGGCGGCCATTTTGTCGTTCTTTAAGCTGACCATAAAGAGTCCTGTAGCGCACTCCCCTCGGTTGATAACGTTCACGTATGGGTATCAGTTTACAAGCGTTAGCAAAAAGCAAACTTCCCGTTTATCGGCGGCAATTTTGTCGTTTGTTAAGTTGACTGTAGAGTCCTATAGCGCTCCCCTCCGGTGAATGCCATAACGTTCACGTACAGTTTTCAAGCGTTAGCAAAAAGCAAACGTTCCCGTTTACCTGTGGACATTTTGTCGTTTTTTTTAAGCTGAGGTGTTAGCTTACTGGCCTCTCATTTCCTAGTGCGCGACTTCGATCCCGGCCGAGATGCGTGTGTTTCCAAGGGCGGAAACTCCACAGTAGCCATGATACTATTATGGTATGTCAAAGAACCCTGGCGGATGCCCGACAACATGAAATCCCTCTGACAATATCCCGCCCTAAAAACATCTCACATTGTCCCAAACAGATAGCTCGGATGTAGTTAACTGAGACCGAAATCTAGCGGAGATAGAGAAGAGTCACACCCCAGGCGCGTCAAGGGCCTGAAAGGGTGGAAAGATCCCCAGCCCCGCTTCGAAGGTAGGCTTCCAAGGAAGCCTGAAACGACAAAGAGCCTGGCATCAGGAACTATTTTGAATATCCTCTTAGGGCCTCGTTTCTTTGTAGTTCTCGCTACGCTCAGACGACAAACTCAAATCATGCGTGAATCACCTGTTTCGCGCCCTTCAGACATAAACTTCTGTTCAATTTGCGTGTCAATTAAACAAAAAACAAACCGGCCAAGACGTCATTGGATGCATTGATGAACGCTCTGCGCGTCAGCACGTACCTGCGGATCCGTCGTACTCGTCGCCGTACTCGTCGTCGTCCTCGTCGCCGTCGGAGGCGCTGTCGTCGGCCGCCTGCGCCGCCGCGTCCGCCTGAGCGGCCGCCGCCTGCGCCGCCCCCGCGCCCTCCTCCGCCTGCTCGCCCGCCGCGTCCTCCTCCGCCTCCTGGCACATTGCGTTCATTATTTCATCACTACTTCATTCATTTCTGCATCCATCACGTCATACATCACGTCATACATCACGTCATACATCACGTCATACATCACTTCATTCATCACTTCATTCATCGCTTCATACATCGCTTCATACATCGCTTCATACATCGCTTCATTCATCGCTTCATACATCGCTTCATTCATCACTTCATTCATCACTACATTCATCACTTCATTCATCACTTCATTCATCACTTCATTCATCACTTCATTCACCGCTTCATTCACCACTTCATTCACCACTTCATTCACCACTTCATTCACCACTTCATTCATCGCTTCATTCATCGCTTCATACATCGCTTCATTCATCGCTTCATTCATCGCTTCATTCATCACTTCATTCACCACTACATTCATCACTACATTCATCACTACATTCATCACTTCATTCATCACTTCATTCATCACTTCATTCATCACTTCATTCATCACTTCATTCATCACTTCATACATCACTTCATTCATCACTTCATACATCACTTCATTCATCACTTCATTCATCACCTCATACATCACCGCATACATCACTTCATACATCAGCTCATGCATCACTTCATCCATCTCTTCATTCATCTCTTTATCCATCACTTCATTCATCACTTCATTCATCACTTCATTCACCACTTCATTCATCACTTCATACATCGCTTCATTCATCGCTTCATACATCGCTTCATTCATCACTTCATTCATCACTTCATTCATCGCTTCATTCATCGCTTCATTCATCACTTCATTCATCACTTCATTCATCACTTCATTCATCACTTCATACATCACGTCATACATCACGTCATACATCACTTCATTCATCACTTCATACATCACTTCATACATCACTTCATTTAATTTACTTCATTAATTTTATTGATTCATTTCCTAATTCATTCGTTTACATCAGGCATGTCAAACCGCTCCTGCACAAGCTACTAGCCTACAGCTGGCAAAGAAACATCGATGGTTTTAAAACATTGATATTGGTACTAGATGAACAGGAAATCATTTCTACGTCATAGTAAATCAACGTTCGTGATACTAATGTTAAAATACCGATTTAATGCAACCAAACAGTGGAACGAATAGCATTTCTTAACAGCCGTGTCCCTTAAGTATTAACAGTCCGCTGCCCGTTAAGAAGAATCCAACATATTAATTGTAGCTAAAGATGACGTACGAACAGTACGCCTTTCGAACAGTATGCCAGATGACGTACGATCAGTACGTCTCTCCGCAGTGTCACTTCGCTATTGCGAGTGCTATAGAAATAGAAATTATGTACGTAGCAGGAGCTGAAGCTTGCAACAAAAGAAAACGTAAATTGCGTACAGATCCCAATGATATCAGATGCTGGCAGTGTTGTCACCTTCATTTGTTTCCACATGATCTGGTTGCTACAAACACAAATGCAATTTAGAATAGGAGGCTCGACTTGCCTCGGTGCGGAAAGAGTTTCCAGGCGCACGTTAGATGTATATTTCTTCCTTGAAATTGAATTTCTTGTTTCTACGATTTATCTTAGAAAAACATTGTATTACGAAAAGTATTTGTGATAAAGACAATCCGTAGACACAGACCGTAGTTCTCCCAAATAACGGACTTGGTTGGTTATAAACCTCAGCTATCACCTCGTCGTTTGAACTTAAACGGCACCGGTTATCGGCTCTGTAACGTCCTAGTGACGTTAACAACTAATTTCTTCCCAACAAACTGTGGGCAATGCGCGCACCTCCTCGTCAGCGTCATCCGCGTCGTCAGCCTCCTCGTCCTCCTCGTCCTCGTCGTCATCGTCGGCGGCCACGTCGTCCACAGCCGCTGCGCCGTCGCCCTGCTGGGTCTGCTCCTGCCGCAGACGGCGCCACAGGGCAGCGTTAGGGGCGCCACAACGAAGTCATGGTGCAACCAGAACCACCAGCAAAGGAAACTTGGGGAGGTAGAAAGTGGAAGACCAATGAGGACACGAAGAAAACAATGAAAATGTGCACCACGAGAGGGAGAAATAAAGGAAAGAAAAGGAAGAAGGTAGGAAGGAAATAGGAGGAAGGAAGACGAAGGACGAAAATAAAAAGAAATGAAAGGAGAGGTAGATAAAATAAAGAGAAAGTGGAAAGAATAGACGTCGAGGAATCGAAAGAAAGGGGAAGAATATACTGGAAAATCGTGTAGAGAAACAATAAGAGGAATGCAAAGAAGTAACGTCTGAGGAAAATAGAAAAATATGAAGGGGAGGAAGAAAAAGTAATACACCGGTGAAAGAGAAAGTACAGGAACGAGAGGAAAGGAAGGAAATAATTGATTGATGGAGAGGAAGGAAACAGAAGAATATAGGGAGAAAAAGGAAAAACAGGAAGGAAATGAAGAGAAAGGAGAAGAAGAAGTGTGCGGAATGGGGATGAAGACACTGGAAGAAACAAAAGACGATGGGGAGGAAGTAAAAGGAAAATACAAATATAAGGAAGGAGTGGGAGATTGAAGGGAAGATAGGAGAGAAAAGAGAAAGGAGAGCAAGAAGGGGAAGAAGGAAAGTAAGGTGAAAAAATATGCAGGAAAAAGGAAGGAAAGGAGGAAGCAAGCAGAGAGAGAGGAGAAAGAATGAATATGGAAAATAAGTGCAAGGTGAAGTGTAACGCACAGGAAGAACGAAAATGAAATAAAGAAGGTAGGAAAGAAAGAGAAAGTGAAGAATGGCACAGTGAAAGTACGAAAAGGAAGGAAAGAGGAGGAAGAAAACTAAAGTGAAGACTAAAACAGAGGAAGGACGTAAAAGAAGAAACAAACAGCAATACGAGGAATAAAGTAGAAGGACGAGACGTAAGAAAGGAAGGGTGAGGTGAGGAATGAAGGAGAGGAGGGACGAGAAGGAAGGAAAGAGGGGAGTAACAGTATAGTGAAGACTGAAGACATGAAGGAAAAATGAAAGGTCACAGTTAGGAATAAAGCTATGAAGGAAGGAGATGGAAGCTCCAGGCGAGGTATAAAGCAAAAGGAAAAAAGGGAGAGCGAGGTAAGGAATGAAGGAGAGGAAGGGAGTAGCAGTTAAGTGGTGACTGAAGCAGACGAGGGAAGTGAAGAGAAAAGAAACGAAGGGCGAGGTGAGGCGAGGAGGTAAGACAGAAAGGAAAGAGGAGGGGAGGATCGTTAACGCGAAGACAGGAGCAGGCAAAAGACGAGACGAAAGACCGAGAAAGGAAGGCGCGCACCTGCTGCGTCTGCGTCTGTTGGACGGGCGCCTCCGCCGCCGCCGCCGCCGCCACCGCCTCGGGGGCGGGCGCCGCAGCGCCGCCGTCGTCCAATCGCTGCTGCTGCTCCTCCTTCTTCTGCAGGCTGGCCAGGTCCACGGGCTTCTTCGGCTTCAGGTTGTCTGCAACACGGCGCAACACACACTCTTTAGCTGCTTTTTTAAACATTTTATTTAGTAGGTGATTATTCCACGCATAAATTGCAAAACCTGATGCCATGAGGCTAGGCCGAAGCCATCTACATCGTGAAACATTCTAAATTTTTAAGCCTCTTTGACTTCGAGTTGTCTGCAACACGATTCAACACACACTCTTTAGTTAAAAAAATATTTAGTAGGTGATTATTACACACAAATTACATAACCGGATGTTATGAGGCTAGGCCGAAGCCATTAAAACATCTACATCCAGAATCATTCTTAACGTCTAATCCTCTGTAGCTTCGAGTTGCCTGCAACACACACTCTTTAGCTGTTTTTTAAACATTTTATTTAGTGATTATTACTCATATAAATGACATATCACGATGTTATAAGGCTTGGCCGAAGCCTCTATAACATCTACATCCTGAACCATTCTAAATTTCTAAGCCACCTCGACTTCACGTTGCCTGCAACACATACTCTTTAGTGTTTTTTACATTTTATTCAGTAGGTGATTATTACACATATAAATTACATAACATGATGTTATGAGTCTCGGCCGAAGCAATTACAACATCTACATCCTGAACCATTGTAAATTTCAAACACTCTTTGGCTTCGAGTTGTCTGCAACACGATGCAACACACACTCTTTAGTTAATTTACATTTTATATAGTAGGCGATTATTATATACATAAATTGCAAAACCTAATGCTATGAGGCTAAGCCAAGCCACTACATCTACATCCAGAACCATTCTTAACTTCTAAACCTCTTCGGCTTCAGGTTGTCTGCAACACAACGCAACACACGCTCTTTAGTTAAAAAAATTATTTAGTAGGTGATAATTACTCATATAAATTACATAACGTGATGCTATGAGGCTAGGCCGAAGCCACTATAACATCTACGTCCTGAACCATTCTAAATTTCTAAGTCTCTTCGGCTTCGGGTTGTCGTGACATGACGCAACACACACTCTTTAGCTGTTTTTTTAAAAACATTTTATTTAGTGATTATTACTCATATTAATTACAAAACCTGATGCCATGAGGCTAGGCCGCAGCCACTACAACATCTACATAGAGAATCTTTCCAAATTTCAAATTCTCTTTGGCTTCGAGTTGTCTGCAACACACATTCTTTAGTTTTTTATATTTCATTTAGTAGTTGATTATCACACACATAAATTACATAACCTGATGTTATGAGGCTAGGCCGAAGCCATTACAACATCTACATTCTGAACAATTCTAAATTTCTAAGTCTCTTCGGCTTCGGGTTGTCTCTGACATGACGCAACACACACTCTTTAGCTGTTTTAAAAATTTTATTTAGTGGGTGATTATTACACACAAATTACATAACGTGATGCTATGAGGCTAGGCCGAATCCATTACAACATCTACATCCTGAACCATTCTAAGCGTCTAAATCTCTTGAGCTTCAGATTGTTTTTCACGACGCCACACACTATTTTTTCCATAGCCCACACGAAAGTGCAGTAACAAATCTATTCCTACCATAACTAGCAAAAGAAAAGCTCAGCAAAACGTGCGGATAGTACATTTATGCCCAGAAGCAAAACAAGTAACCATCTCAGCATTTGCTCAAAGTGTCAGGGAAACTGGACGTCAAACCTGATTTAGATGGGTATCCCTTAATACATAGAAGCTGAAACATAACTTGTTTCATACTTAGTCTTTTAAAAATTGTACACAAAACTATGCATTGTATACCATTGTTAAAATAATTTTTTTTTTCATTTTGATGGTCTTTAATGGTCATTTTATGGTCTTTTGAGAGTCTATATTTGTACAGAAACAATTATACAACAGAAAAGATTTTTCTAGTCCATTAAACTAAAGTGTAGATATTCTATTATAAAATGTGTGTAAATGGAAGAAATATTTTATAACACAAAGCAATCTTTGTAATTCTTCAAAATTACACTTCACAAAGCCTCCGGTTATTTAAAATTAATTACAACATGAATTCGCAAAAGTACTGCACTGATATTCGTATGTTACGGAAGTTAGAAAAGATACTGAAAGTTAACATATGAAACAAATAAAGAACAAGTTTCCTTCGATATTCCCAAAACAGATGAGCAGTCTCAAACGCTAGGCGAATGAATTGTTTGACATTCGAGTGTATTAACAAGCGAACACAGAGTTTCCTCTGATAAAACACAAGTGTGAGATTCTACAGAAGAACGAAAAAATAATCAAATAATGTATTTGATATTCTGCGACGTTCTTTTCTTGGTTGCACCAAGTATTGTACTAGGTAAGTTAATCTCTTTTTTAAATCAGAATGTGTTGTGTTCACATTACCCAACCAGCTTATGCTCTATGACATCAATTGTTAACCTCTTAAATAATATGAATACATAATGCAAGTGATTCTGCACCTTATAGTTACAGACATTCTGCAACAATCATGAATAAACTAAAGAAAGTCATGGTTATAGCTCACTGTTACTAATTGCAATTGTAAGGTGATATAATTTAAAATGGACTTCTAGTCATGGCAACGCTGATAAATGATGAATTTGTTGGCGTAGAATTCAAAAGACTCTTTATACTGAATTTCAATGGTTCCAACAACACAATTATTGACAAATTACATTGCTGTGTCATTTCCTACGGGTTTTTACATATTAAAAAAGGTTATTTGTACTTTACAATTACAAAATAAAAAAACAACAACATATTACTGCTGGGAGGCTCGACCATTTTTGGGCGTAGAATGATACACGAAAATGTAACAATTAAAATACTTTTTAAAAATCTTGTTTCATCACAAAATTAGGATTAATTATCGACAATCTAATGAATCATATAGTACAGATTCATGACAATGCCGGAAAGGGAGTACAGTAATTAAGCATTTTACCATTATACACGTTGATGCATTGCTATAAAAAAAGTGTTCTAGAATTATTCCCTGATGCAATAGAAAGAACCGTCAAAGAAATATTCCAATCACTTTGTCTCATTGAGAGTAAGCAAATGAGCTATTGATCACCTTTTTAGATGACGGACGTAACCTAAAAACGCGTTTCAGTGGCTAAACAATTTTTTAAACTGTTTTTTTTAAAGAAATGTCTTCGAATCGTCTGGATGAATCCGGAAACATGATCAGTTCCCCATCAAGACACCGAGACGCGTCGAATGACATCTCGATTTGTCTCGATTAGTGGATCGCGAAAGGTCTAACCGAGAGATATAGACGGACACAGGTTTATCGAATACTATACACGTTTCCATTGCTCACGAGCATTGATACCTCTCAACTGCCCACGATCATTACATTTATTAGTAAATGGCGGATTTTATTGAAATATCATTTTTTTGTTTCTCTTTAGAACAATGCATTTTAGTATAGGTATTAATTTTATGTTATTCCAAAGGCAAACGAACCATTTTATATGGCATTTTCTACCGTCATTTATTACCGATTTTAAAGCAATTTTTGATGATTTCGTGGATTTTAATATCATTTTGCTTGCTACAAATAACATTTACGGGATGCAACAAATGTTCTCCACAGAATTCCTGAGTAGCCTATTCGATTTCTGGGCTCAAAAATTGTAACGTCAGCCGTTGCGAGTGTGTAATCCAAGGTTCCTGTGACGCCTATCAGCGCCATTACCAGTTTGGCCGATTTTGGGATAACTAAAATACAAAGATTTGCTGGTAAAGAACGGTCCGCACCAAAAGTTTGCCAGCTGAGTTTACTTGAACGAAAAGAAGACTCTGTTACATCTGTACATAACAGCTTGAGTTGTTCATCTGAACTGGTTTTGATAATGGTTTACGTAATTTTGCTTCCCTTTTATGGCATTTAAAAACATTTTATGAGCATTTTATTGATCATTTTTGGCGATGCTTTAGGTCATTAAAACCCGCCCCCTATTTATTAGAATCAGAATAAACCCTCAACTGTTTTATAACAAAGCAAGCTTGACTAATGATGAACTAGGCTGATATACAACCTTTAATGAAGAAAATATTTGAAGTATCAAAACGAAAAAAAAAACAAAGCTGATTTGAACTCCCGTGAGAATTCAAATTCACACGATTCAGTTGCGAAAACTACCGTCAACGCAGGTGAACATTGGTTGGACAAGAAAATAAACTGCGAATGTTGTTTTTTTTTTGTTATGTTTTTTATTAGCCAACTGCACATCCCATTAAGGGCAAAGGCTTCCTGCTCGCGCAGGGAATTATTAATCTTTCATTAATGAAGTGAGATGATGAAGGGTGAAAAGACGATCACAAATACATCCATGCCCGATGCGGGAATGGAACCCGCGATCCTTCGATCCCATATCGCCACACTACTGACTTAGCGATATCGCCTCTCACGATCGACGAATGAGGTATTAATTAGTCAAACAAGACAAGTAACTATGTTGAAATCCCCGTCTTTCTGTTCTCTTCTTTTAAGAAGGAAATGCTCGTTGCTTTTAAATTAATGTGTGTGTTTATAACTTTGGCCGGACCAGTGAATACATGTGCTTTTATGCCTACAATGGCTAAATTCTAAAGTAGCGGCAACTATGATGTAAGTTGATTTTATTTGTAGAGTAAACACAAGTCAAGTTGTCAAGAATGTAATCGCCCCTAATCTTTATGACCTTCTGCCGCTCTTGCAGAATGCATCCTGCGTCCATTTCTAGCGATGCACACACATCAGCATTTCTTTTTTATTTCCTTCGGGCAAGAGCATAATGTGGTTAACTAGCTGAAGTACCCGGTATTCCTGGTATACAAATATCCGCCACAAAAGGAATGAATTCCTTTTCCCTTATCAAAAGCATGCTAAATCGAATCAGGGCATCGATTTATGTCACTGCAGCGCCTCTGATCAGGAGGTCTTAGGGCCCATTTACAATACAAACATTAATATAAGCATGGCGTTAACATAAACGTTAGAACTATGTCCACAAGCGGACTCATTCACAATGCGT